CCGCTGCTCAAGATCACACACACTGAGCTTGTACAGTTAACATTTTATATAAAAATAAAAGAAAAATAATATAAATAAAAAGGTCGGCAAACACGCCCAAATTAAAAATGTTTGCCTACTTTGTTTCAATGTGCAATATAACACCCAGTGCCCTTTATATCACCAGCTTCAGCCAAAGTTAATATTGAGTCCAATTCTGAATTTAGAAACATCCACGGATATGTGACAATAAAAACTTCAATGCGGTACTAAGCAACATGGACCTATTTTCAGGGTGATAAGTATTATCCAAACAAGAATACTTAACCACCTTATGAGAAAAATGATCAATTTCAAGAATAAAGTAAATCAATTAAACAATATTATGCACAAAAATAAACTCTCTATTGAACTGATTAAATATCTATCAAACTTGATAAATTGCAAGTCCTGATGTCAAGTTACAGTACATAATTCAAACATTTTCTCAGTAATAAAAGACTTCGAAAATGGTCAGAGGTCAATAATTTCTTAACAGATAATCAGTATGGATTTAGGAATAGTAGAAGTACTATTGACTGCATATTTGTACTAAATTCTATTATTGATAATAAAGATAATTGAACGTGATAAAAAGAAATTGTATACTGTATTTGTAGATTTCCGCAGGGCATTTGATTTAACATATAAAAATGGTATTTGGTTCAATTAATTGACACTGATGTCTCAGATAAACTGTTAAAACTTCTGGAAGCATGTATAAGGGTGTAATATTATGTGTTCGTAATAATGGCTCACCAACTGAGTTTTTTTATAGTTACATGGGCTTGAAGCAGGGAGAGCCATTATCTTCCTTTTTGTTCATTATGTTTATTAATATATGCTAGATAACTTAGCTGACAATAGTATAGATGTTTTTTACAATTGAGGAATTATAAATTTATTTGTTGTTGTTTGCAGATGATACTGCTTTATTTTCTTACTCTGAACAAGGTTTACAAATTATAACTTAATAAATTGTATAATTATTGTAGGAAATGGTGTATTGAAGTTAATTCAGATAAAACAGCTGCAATAATTTTTAGAAAAGGTAATATACCTTCAAATATATCGCTTAAGCATCACAATAAAATTTTAAAACGAGTTAAAACATTTACTTATTTAAGAGTAACGCTATCATCTAATGGAATTGTTTTATCAAGCTCAAAAATCAGTGCCCAAGCTTTACACGCTCTTCATTCTTTGAACTCCTTTTTGATAATGTTAATTTAGATATTGAAGATAAATTAAAACTTTTTAATTCAATGGTATTATCAATTTTATAAATTTTAAGGATCTGAAATATGGGGTTTCCATAAACCTCCGGATATAGGACGTGTATACTTAAAGTTTCTAAAACAAATACTTGATGTTAAACAACAAACATGCAGTACTGCAATTTATGGAAAATTTGGTGTATATTTCCTTTATATATAGTTAGTAAAAATTAGTATATTTAAGTTTTGGTATAAATTGAAAATATGCCTGACTCAACTATGTATAAATTAATGATGTTGCAGGGACGAAATAATACATTGTTAAACAGTTGGTCATGTAACGTAAAAAAGTTATTAGGTGACTACCTATGGAATTGTGATAGAATATCTGAAATGAATGTTAAATTAATTATTCTAAGAATCCATGATCAATATTTACAACAATGGTTATCTGAATTAGACTCATCTTCTAAATTAGATATCTATAGAGAATTTAAGAAATTTAAACTTTATTCAAGCTAGTTAAGTGTCGAGGCACATATGCAACCACTAGCGAGATTTAGATGTTCATCACACAACTTAGAAATTGAAGAAGGTCGATATAGGAAATTGTCTAAGCGAAATGTGGTTATGTGTACTTAAAAACTGCCCATCTTTTGTTAAAACATCAACATAAAAACATGAATTATATACTTTCATACTTTTCAATATTATAAATTACATGTACTATCGTTAATTAAACCACCAATTATGTGTGGCGAAAAAAAACCCATGTATATATGTTTATGCTTATAAATACTTTGACTTGACTTGAAAAATTAATTTAGTGAGATAAACGCTTATACTGCCGTAAACGATAGATAATGTCCAGGGCCAAGCCAGTCTGCACCACCGTCTTGTCTGACCAGGTTGTTATCTGATGGCTGTCTTGCTTCAATTGCTTCAAAATATTCATTTACATCGCTATGCCTTATAGCTGGTAGGAAAAAATGTCAGCCCGATATCAATTTTTTATATTTTTTTCATGCATGTTTTAGTAAATTTATCTATGAAATTCAGAGAATATGAAAAAATAATGGAAATGCCTCCATTTTCATATTGTTCAAAAAGGATGGGAAGTTTTAAAATCACCTGTACCAAAATAAATACAAAAAAGAACTTATTTTATCATATAAATTGCGTATTAGCCATTTTTCAATAATGTGGCGGCCATATTGGCGGCCATCTTGGATTTCTCAAAACGTAACATGTCTTGACATGTCTACCCAAAATTTTTGTAAACTTCAAACATTTTGCTTTACATTGGTATAACATTTATCTATGGACCTTTTTTGCACACAAAAGGTCCTCAGGGACTGTACTACTACACATATGAACATAATATTCTAGCATAATTATAATATAAGAATAATACTCGTACAAGATAGACCTTTGAAATATACACTGCGATTCTAATCGACAATATTTCCTGGATTATATTTTGAAAATGAGCATGAAAGATGATTAATATTTCTCATTCAGAAAAAAATGCATCAACTTACCTCGTAAAATAGTTATTTATGCCCAGTTCCTCCAACAGCATCTAATGGGTATATTTCTGTAAGTATTTCTTAAAATATTTATATGTTTAAATTAAGCAAATGTTACGAGAAAGCGTAAATCTCCAAGAAAATAGTCGTTATGGTCATGCGATAAAACAGTTACAGAATAATTACTCGGACTTCACGGGCTGGTATCAGAGCATGGGGATACAAAAGGGTCAATCGTGGAAATTAATCTCGACGTTCCGTCTCGATTAATTTCCTATGATTGACCATTGTTGCCGCCCCATGCGCTGATACCAGCCGGTAAAGTCCTCGTATATATTCTATAACTATTACTTATATAATCATGAAATTATATCAAAACGTACGCCAAAATGTTTCTGCAAAGCTTTATCAGCCATAGTGTGAATAATATACTTTGAGTGATATGGATTATGCTTAAAGTAAAACACCCAGTATTTTACTGTTTAGCATGAAATGAAACTTTAAAAGACACAAAATCTATATAATATATCCATTCTGACACTGACATCTTTTATTACATGTATGAATATTGCTTTTGCCACATTATCAGATAATGGTCATGTTTATTTGCACATTTTTTCCCCAATTTTTTTTTATTAGTTGGTTGTCTCGAAACGAAAAGCAGAAAAATAAGCAACCATGGTTATGCAATTTTACTGATATATAAATATAATTATCCGAGCCCCTAAGGGTCAAATGAGTTCGGGATTGTTAAAATCAAATCAACAAACAGCTGTAAAATTCTATCCTGTTTATATACTGATCCAAGGTTGTAACATCACATAAGGTACAAACAAGTAGATTCTGTAGGTACAAACCAACACTCTGAAATAAGTTTATAACAATATGTAAATATAAAGTAAAATAAAATATAAACAATGCATTACATGAATAAATATTATATCTTATGTTTTAATCTAGAACATAATCAATTACATGTCTAGTGGCCAATTCAGTTCTTTACACTCAGCAACAGTCCTTAAATATAATATCATAGCTTATGGAATTATACACACAATTAACATATTTTACCTTTTAAAGAATACACAATACATCATACATGTAACTTACCATCTGAGGGATGAGTGTAGTACATCAATCTATAACCTAATACCTTCTCTGAGTTTCACACCAGTGACTGTTAACTGCAAGGTTAAATATTAATAGTGAATAAAAGATGAAAGGTGATTTGATACATGTAGACACATGTCATTCTGAAACTCATACTTATTTACAAATTTCACAGTCAATGGACTGAACCAAAATACAACAGAATCACAATAATGCAATTCTACATATTTACAATAAAGCATTTAGCAGCAGTCAGGATAAATACATACCTATTTAGGAAATAAAGAACTTGACCACAAACACTAATTCTTCTAACCTCTCTTTTACAACATAACAAAGACACAATGACTTTTTCCCACCAAGAAATCACATGACATAAAAATAGCTTAAAACCAATGATCCGTGAACCAATCATTTGAATTCTTAGAATACTGACCAATGTAAACATAAGATAAAATCAGTTAAAACCAATAGAGTAATCTCCCTTGAAAAGTATCAGACAAGACCGGCGGATTTGTCTCCCTTTGCTAAATTATAAAATCCAACAGTTAAGCAAGAGTATTGTCCCTTGGACCTGATCCTAAAAATAAGACCCTGTTACATACGCATGTAAGTACAGAAAAACATGCATTACTAATTATATAAACATTTATCATCTAGTAGCATTCTACCTATAACTATCTCCCTTTTCTACCAATAATTATCTCCCTAAAAAATCTACCACACACAAATCATGAAGCGCTGATATCACGTTAGTGACAAAAACGGTACCATATATGGAAGTGCCGGACTATTTTTTTCTTCGTTGGTTCCCATCTTAGCAGTGCATTACATAGTATTTGGAAACGGGAACCGTTGCCATTCTTGAAATTTTCCGTTACTCTTGACAGCTTTATATTTTCTTATGAAATAGCTAAATTGAGTCTCTTTATAACTTGGGTTCACGAGATACATGTATCTGTTATCCGACGCTGCTCGTGGCAAATCACAAAGCTTCAGACAGTTACTACAACGTAATATTCCATATTTATTTAACACTAATTAATTGCGCAAAAAGCAAAAAAAGTTTTTGGTAATATTCTCTTTTGTAAATAATAATACTGTAATAGAAATCAAAATGAACGAAATGGATTTATGCGCAAATTTGAGTGGTTTCATAAATTCTTCAGATGCAAATTCGACATCGGCATCAAATTGTAGAACAGGAGATATTTACAGTGTGAATGTAGTCACACATATTTTGAATTTAGTAATTTCGGCTCTTGCGATTTTCTTCAACGGCCTCATCACAGCATGTTTACTGAAACATCGCTCAAAATTTCCAGGAGTTATTTTTCAGCAGACCCTGTGCCTCAGTGTAACGGACCTTATTGCCGGCTCCACTTCAGCAACATTTGGGCTTATGCTAATCGAGAGCATTAACCGAAGTTTCAAGGCATGCGCAGCAATATTTGTGCTGGAAGGTATTCCACGACTTGCCGTGATAATCAATCTCTGTTTCGTGTCCATTAGAAGATGGATAGTTTTACGACATGCATCAAAGCCCAGAGCAAATACACGGAATATCTCGACCACGCGCACAGTTTTGTTTGTACTTGTCCCTTGGATAATTACGTGTCTCATGTTGATACCATTAATCAAAACAGCGGTTACACAAGAAACAACGGAAGTAAACGGATGTATTTCCATCACGGTGTTTAGAGAGGAAAATACCGCTCCCTTTTATGTGGGCTTTACACTTGTTTCTCTGGTAATGCTGACGTTATTTTATACAGGATCAATTATTGCTTTGAAACGTACTGGAAGACAAACTACAAATGTTCACCAAGGCCGTAACGAACGTTTACAGCAAAGGGCGTTTAAACACTTGGTAGGAGTATTAGTAGTGGCAAATATCACGACACTGCCGTTTGTGGTATCTATTGTATTGTCAGCTTCGGACATATTTAGAAACGCCCAACTGTTGTATCTTTCTAGTCGTATTCAGATGCTGAATTCTGCAATCAACCCAATTATCTATAGCTTTCATATCACCGAATTAAGGACAGTCATTAAGGAGAGTTTAGCACCAAACAGATTACAATGTTGCAGTCGCAATGGAACTGGAGATGAGGTTCACGATGTGCAAGCAGACGACACCAAAGATAATCGGTATTAATCAGAGACGATTTTATTTGAATGTAATGTTGTTAGTCTATAGTGAGGTTATTATGTGACATACAATGTCCCCGTGTTGCGATTGACGGGCAATAGAATGTGACAAGGCTTCGACTCTAGGTGGTGTTGACTTAAACAAACTGCATGTACGTCATAAAGCGTTAATTATTTAAAACTAATCGTTAATGGCAAAATTGGTCAAAGCAGACCAAGTAAAATCACATAACATAGAAAGCAAACGTGCAAATTACAAATGCTGACTACGTTCTTACAACTTTGAAATAATAATATTGTAATGAACAGTAATACACACTTGAAAACAACGTCTGTCATTTCCGTCCACTTATTTAGGCCCTATATGCGTGAAAACAGAAATCGGACAACTTCGAAAATTTGCCAAAATGAAGGATTATACTTTGGCCATGTAGTACGAAGCTATTTTATGAAAATATCGGTGAATTTCCCAGGCTGATGTGATATTCACATTGGCCCCATTCCGTGAATCTTATGAATATTAGTCAAGTCAAACGGCTTGTGATCATCATACAATAACTGTATAGTATAATTCAATAGTGTAGATGTACATATAAAGAACTTTTTCTGTGAGTGTGCGAATTTTAGTTATTTTGCCACATTGACATATCTGTACATAACATCGAATGTGCTACATTCAACAGCACACTCCAAGGTCGTGTAAAACAAGGAAAGTAAACAAATAAAAGCGAATAATTATTATATCTAAAGGCGATTAATTCATTTTATAAAAAAATCTCGTACGACATGTTATCGTAATTCCAATTTTTACCGACTGTTATTATACAGTCTACCAGATGTAGAATTTGATTCGAAGCACCGACGATTTGTTTCATTACTATTAAATTCACGCACAACATGTTTTGTATTGTGATGCGCATTGTGGTACTAATTTCTGTTTGGTCGTTTAAACTTCTATTGTTATGGTGTCGCTCTCAGTTTATCATTAAGTCTGAAGCGAATAGTTTTGAGTTTCTGAAAGCAAGAGGGCCACAATGGTCCTGAAACGCTCACCTTCACTGAACTGCTAGAAAAGGTCACATTTTTATTTTTCATTGCTAAAATCAGTATTTAGGTCATGTTGGATTTATCATTTTTACCAACATTAATCTGCATAATGTTCAAAGGATTTGTTCAATGCTTTATGGCAAATATTTAAGAATTCCAATTCCATGTAAGAAGACTTAATTTAATGTGGTTCTCGATGTAAATCTATAAAAACTAAGTGACCCCTTGGGCAAGGACCAATTTATGCCCTATATATGCATGATTTATATAACTTTTGTAGATATCTGAACTCTGGGCATTATACTTTCAGAGATTTTTATGACATTTTACTACACAAGTCTATGTATTAAGCCAAGTTTTTTTTTTTATAAAATATACAGTAATTTGTCTTTAAGGCCAGGCCAATTCTATTGTGGTGATTTTGAGTTCATATTTGTATTTTGTTCTTTTGTTATGGGTGATTGAGTTGAGAGATGAATGATGGATTTTGTATAAATGTTATTTATAATTTTGGCTGAACGCTCTAAAGTAGAACGTCGTGGTGTTACGTGCCCATAACTCTGACCACTCCTTGTTTTGTTCTTAGTTATAACACATTCTTTGAATTTAAAGTTGACTCATTTATTTCGTTATCGAAATATTAGTATTTTCGATTTTTGACCATTATATTTTTTTTTACAAGGAAGTGGCTTGCCTGGTATGTATATATTAAATAGTTCGTGATATTGTTCCATTGTAATTTGAATTGTTGCGTGACATGTTGTATTATGTTGTTTTTTTGTGTGAAATGTATTTATCTTGTAAAATATTTGTTTTGTAATGTGATACATCATTGTTATTTTATTACATGTTGTTTTCTTCATAGAATTAAATATATTTGAAAACCTCATCGAGTGTTATCTTCAAAACCTCACCACTAAACTAAGTAACCCCCAGGACGAGCCATTTTACTGAAATAATATTGGAAAGGTCCACCCAGCATTGCTACTTGACAAACATCTAAGCTCTTGGCATTCTAGTTTCACAAAGAAGACTGAACTGTATTTTCCTTTTTTGTAGCATATTATCACCAATTATACAACATTTTTGACCATCTTATGATCATTCCTGTAATTTTTGGTCAAAATCTAACAAGTTAAGGACATCGGTTATCAGCATTAAATAAACCTTAAAACTTATCCTGTGTTGATTGTTTGTTCCACTTTTATTGTTTTTCTTGTAAGTTAAGGACATGCAGAGTGGTGTAGATAATGAAGGACAACTGACGGTGAACACTCTAATCTCAAAAGCTCACCTCTGAGTATTATGTGCTTAGGTGAGCTACAATGGGATATGGATGAAAATTGGACCACGGATTTACATTGTAATAGAAATCCGTGAGTGGACCAATGCCTATAGTTGATTCTTCTTTCAACAGTTAAAAAATTTGCTATCACATATTTTGTAGTCTTTCAGATTTGATATCCTTTTCGAAATATTAACAAATAGTCTGTGCATTCAAGCACTAAAAATACAAATAACTTTCTATCCTTTATTCAATAAATTTATTTTTCCATTTTAGGAGTTTATCACAAATGTTCAATACGCTCTGATAAACTGGCATGAACAATAACAATATAATATATAAACTAGACATATGCTGAATGCTATATCCACATTGATGTGTCCTTGATGGCAGGTGTTTAAAAGATATACATGACTGTATAAAGAAATTATCTTTAGAGAAATCATCTCAAAATAAATTTGTTAAAGTTTAGTGGTACAAACCTAAATTATCTGGAAACTCTTGACAAAAATGGAACATAACTCTGTAAAACTTAAGTGGCCTTGAAACCATGAACTGACAGACGGACAATGAAGCTCACTCCTATATATAACCCCCTTTACCTCGTAAATTGGGGTACAATCAAAACAATACTAACATGTTACAATAGGACTGTTACATACTGGTATATTGGAATGACTTCACATAAATATAGAAATGGTACATTTGTACTTAACTCTTTCAACTGCTGGAACTGAAAATGATCAGTCTTTGCCACCAGTATAGTGACGTTAGATCAACTTTTAAATTTCGGGTATCTTAATTTGTGTACTTTGTATTTGAAATCCATAAAAATTCATATATCTGTTCCAAATTCAAAGCACGGTAGATCTATGTTAAGGGAGAAGAAAATTACACTTAGAATACAATTAAACAATTCAAAACATGTATATGGATTTCAGTTAATAATACGTTCAACATAATTAATACTGTTAACCACTTAGATATCTTGACCAACACATCACTTTTAATAACACTTGACCTGCTAAATTTCTTTAAGCTAGAATCTCATAAACTAGACTTAACCATTATTTTTTGGATATTTCTATTACCAATTTGGAGGACATAAATGAGAAAATTTATTAGCAATGAGTAAGCCAACATTATACAGCCTCAGGTCAGAATGTAAAGGTGTACAGAGACTCATGTCAAACCAATTTTGGTTCAAAATTGAAAGAAACAAATAACTTATAAATTCAGCTGCATAATTTTAGCAAACTGTTTTCAACAGACTAAAATTATGTTGGTTCTACTTTGATCATTCAGAAGATAACCTATTTGTTTTTTTGGATTTGAGGTCACAAAGACACTAGTGAAGAAGGACCATTTGTAAATTTGATATTTTTCTACTTTCTTAAACAGTTTAAAATGTTCAAAAAATTCAGCAATAATTACATCTTTCACATACCCCTGTGGCTTTTCAGATTGTAAAAATGATATTGCACAGGTGTGTATAGCCATATTTTTTGCCAAGACATTATTTGTTTTATACAACTAGGCAGCCTGTCAGTAACAAAAATGATTATTTTCACTTTTTAGGTATTTGATAAATAGAATATTATATTCATGTAGATTAATTTCTTAATTCATTGAACTTGTAGAATAGGTAATATAAAGCTCACTGAGACTCACAAAATAGAATTTTATACAACTTGTTCAATAAATTCAGTATTGAATCTACAATGTACACACTCATTTAATATCCTCTATGAGTCGCTTTAATATTTGATACTTTCTCTTAGGTTTAATGCACATTTAGACATTATGCCTCAGAAATTCATATTTTTTCAATTCTTTAGAAATATGAAACATATGCTGAATAATGTTTTAACCCTTTCCCCCATGAGCATATTGTGAAAAATGGCCGTTTTCACTGAAAAGCCTCCTGTTACAAGTTCAAACTGCTATGAAACTATGAAAAATGCTTCAATACTAATCAAACTTGGCACAAATGTTGACTTGACCATTGCCTTTGTAACGACATGCTCAGTCTTAAATTTCCTGTTACCATGGCAACGAGGGAACATCTCAAAATTGCCAAAAATCACTATTTTGCCTCGATTTTTTCCATCAAAATTTATTCAAAGTGCTGCAACTTCTCAAGGGATTGAGATAGAGTCAAAGGCTTTTCAGCGTTGGTCAAACGTTACATTATGATCGACCTGGGGTCATTTTTAGCCTCTCACAAGTCCAAAATTTTCTTGGCGATGAGGGGGACTCCGCCCCCCTTCAACCCCTAACAGAAGGGGGCACATCCCCCTTCTGGCAACCCCCTGATGTATCTTTTGGATGGGGGGCGGCGCCGAAAAAGTGCTCAATTTTTTTAGGCAACATTTCTCAAACGAAAACTTATGTTTGGGGCCCAATAGGACATTATTTAACTGTTTGAGACCTAAAAAAGGGGGGGGGGGGGTCGAAAGTGCGTTGTTTCGCGTATATATGTGGTAAAGGGTTAATAATGTAGTTAGAGTATGTTAGATGTTTTACAAATTAACATGCAGAAGTGCTAAACATGCGGTCGTAAAGGTAGCAAATGTAAACAAAGTAATATTTTGACTTCCATGCAAAATACTACTTCACTATAATTATACCAATTGCCAACACAGCTAGATGCAAAAATACATTGTAGAGTTCATGTATATAGCAAATGAATATGTTCTTGGAAACTGTAACAAGATACCAAAAAAAGTTTTTGAGAAATAAAAATGACAGCATTTCTGAGGCATAATTGGGCCTTTAATAGGCACACTTCACTTGTACAATTCACTTTTTTGTTCAACAAAATCACAGAAAAAACAAAATATTAACAAGAAAGTCATGATAATCATGCTTTGAACACAAATTCAAAGTTGTCAAAAATTCTAAGTTGTTCAAAAGCAGTTTTTTCTTCATGTGTCCATTATTTTAGCAACAGTGATGTCTTCTGTTTTAGAATATGATAAAGATCACAACTCTACATAAATCCTTCTTTTCTTGCAGGTATAAATTCATGTTTAAGTTCTAGTCGAGATTCAAGATAGTTAGAAAAAATCTGAAAGGTTACTAAACATCTTCATGTCATGATGTGCATAATTATATGCTTTAGCCTTAAAGGAATTCCACTCCAAAAGCCTTCTAACATGAAAATTATTTTTAGTTATTATCTTCTAAAAACAATTTTTAGTTGCTATAAAATTGCCTCATGAGACCAGCTACCTGTAGATGAAGATCTACCAGCACATAATTCATGCCATCTGATCGTAGTTATGTCCAGATTTTTTTTTACTTTAGTTCTTCTTTTTTTGGGGTTGAATTTTATGTAGCACTCGCACAGTAGAGGTCATTTGGCAATTTCCTGTGCTTCACTGGTGGAGGAAAACTTCAGGCATTATTTTCAGACACTAAAGGACACCTGAGAAGAACCACAAACCTTCTGTAAGCCAGTCAGTTATAATATCACATTGATTCTTCAGCCTTGTAATTATAAGACAAAATTCATTTAAATATAGGTATTAATACATAAAATATAGAGCTCTTACAGAGACCAACTGCTGCACTTTAAATGACAAAATATGCAAAAATAATAAAGGAATTTATCAGAATTAAAATGAAAACTTATTTTTTGCATGTGCGATTTTAAGAAAGCATTTCAAGGCTCATTCATTTATTGGGTGTTTTGCATAATAAAAAATGATTATCATAGAAAAACAAAATGCAATGGAATAAAATTTTTGCTCACATGTTATTGGTACCTTGAACAAATAATTCCAGTCCATATTCTTCTTAAAAAAAATAAGAGGGCCATGATGGCCCTGAGGTCGCTCACCTGTATATAGGCCCCTGGAGTGGGGCCAGTTTTAACCCCAGGGCTTTTATTTGAACACACTTGGAAGACACCCATTAAAAGATGTTTCATGATCTACACACATAATATAATGAAAAACAATGACCTCCTTCTCCCCCCCCCCCCCCTCCCTGGCAAGGCCAATTTTAACCCAAGGGTTTTTATTTGAACAAACTTGGTAGACACCCATACGAAGATGTTTCATGCTAAACATCTAAGTTCTAGCTCATTGGTTTTTTTTAAAGAAATTTTTTTATGTTTTTACTATACACATATAGTCAAAAACAATGACACCCCTGGGGCGGGGCCAGTTTTGACCCCAGGGTATTTATTTGAACAAAATTTGTAGACACTTACTAGAAGATGTTTCATGCTTAATATCTTAACTCTAGCTATTTGGGTTTTTTCAAAGAAGATTTTTCAAGTTTTTGCTATACACATATAAGGAAAATCAATGACCCCAGGGCAGGGCCAATTTTGACCCCGATGGCTTTTAATTGAACAAACTTTGTAGACACTCACTAGAAGATGTTTCATGCTTAATATCTAAACCCTAGCTTTTTGGGATTTTTCAAAGAAGATTTTTTAAGTTTTTGATATACACATATAAGGGAAATTAATGACCCCGGGGCTGGGCCAATTTTGACCCCAGGGCTTTTATTTGAACAAACTTGGTAGACACACATTACAGCATGTTTCATGCAAAATATCTTAGCTCTAGCTCTTTGAGTTCTTTAAAAGAAGATTTTTTAAGTTTTTACTATATGCATAAAGGGAAAATCAATGACCCCCTGGGGCGGAGCCAATTTTGACCCCAAGGCTTTTATTTGAACAAACTTGGTAGACACTCATTAGAAGATGTTTCTTGCTAAATATCTTAGCTCTAGCTCTTTTGGTTCTTTAAAAGAAGATTTTTTAAAGTTTTTACTATATGCATATAGGGAAAATCAATGACCCTCTGGGGCGGGCCCAATTTTGACCCCAGGGCTTTTATTTGAACAAACTTGGTAGACACTCACTAGAAGATATTTCATGCCAAATATCTGAGCTGTAACTCTTTGGGTTTTTTTTAAAAGAAGATAATTAAAGTTTTTCTTTTGGTTGCCATGGCAACCAGAGTTCTGCATGGAATTAAATTCTTTGAACAATTTTTAAAGGTGACCACCAAAGGAACATTCCTGTGAAGTTTGGATGAAATTGGCTTAGTGGTTTATGAGGAGATGTCATTTAAGGTAAAAGTTTACGGACGGACGGACGCCGGACGAAAAGCGATCACTAAAGCTCACCCTGTCACTTTGTGACAGATGAGCTTTTTTGAGTAAAAAAAAAATGGTTACCCATTTTACAACATAATACTGTTAAATCACTCATATTATGCAACAATAAACAAAGAAACTTAAAAATAAACTGTCAAAATAAATTTATCTTAGGAGCTAGTGTAAAAATTCATTAGGAAAGGGGTTTGCTAAACATAAATTTTATCAACTTTTGTCTTCACTTCCCTCATCACTTTTTCCTTCAACAGATTTCTTTTCATTATCGGATGTCTGTTCTGCAGAATTTTTCTTTTCTAGACTTTCTTCTGAAACCTGTGAAACATAAAATACACTTTTCTGACTGTTTGATCTGTTGACCGTTTTAAAAGCTGACTGGTGCCCTGTTTTTCCCGATGGAGCTAATGAAGATGAGTTTCCAGCTGGTATACAGTCTGACTTTGGAGAAGTCTGCAGAGAATCAGTCTGTTTTGATTCAGATGTAACACCAAGTTTGGTTGGCTGATTTAATGTTATGTCAATACTATCTTGTTTCTGATAAGTTGAAGATTGCTGACTTGGATCAGCCTCCGCCTCATGATCAGCTAATGCCTGTTGCTCATTTTTAGTACTGTCAATGATGTACGACCTCAGTTTATTGATAAAGTCTACAGGAGTTGATGCAGACGTCGGCGAAGATGGACCAGCACTTGAGTTACTGGATGATGGCAAGCTGGGACCACTGTGTGCTGAAATTGTTGGTAGCAAAAACATGAGTATGATGTAGCTAAGATACTTAAAACAATTAAACACACATAACTGATAATGCTTTTCTATCATGTCTCTAAGTTTATGTCTTTACAATCAAATTGAAATACATCTTCAAATCAAGGGTTTTACAACTCAAAGTAATCTTTTTTAAAGTCATTGTTTCCTGGAACTTCATACCTGTATAAAGTTGTTCTTGATTCCATCATGCATGAGACCATTTAACAAATGGCATAATTCCAAAATATTGAAAACAAAATATTTTCTAAATTTTCATAGCATACATTACATAAATATACATTCCTTAAAGGTAGAAAGAAAAAACACATTATTCATTAAATTATATTCTTTATACAATATTTCTAACTTATTTTTCTGTAATTAAAAATAACAAACTTATTGACACATTATTAAGTCTCCGAGTATAATGCACTTAAATAGATTTAATACACTAGAGTTTGAATATACTAACACTGTCTTGCATCATTAAGTTTTAAAATATCAACTTTTCACAGTGACAAATATTACTTACATTTCGCTTTCTTTAATTCGGGGCATCTGGGAGAAGCTAGAGGAGTTGGTCCATACATGGGTGAAGACACAGGTGTAAAGAACTTGGTCGTTGTGGCACGGCTGAGGAACACATCAAGGTCACGCATGGTGAGGTTGTTATGCAACGTCTCCAGGGGTTTCAAGGAAGGAACCATGTTGAAACCATCAAAAGCTTAAAGAAAACATATCAAATGATACTAAACTTTCCATTTTAGATAATTTAACCCGTAATCTGCCGAATATGTGTAAGGGCTATGCACAGTGCTTTGACTTTTGATGTCAGTCCATTTAATGTTTCAAGCTGCATTGCCTCCAGATGAGCCAAATATTGCAAGAAAATCAAACTCTGAAAAAAAAAAATTACTAAGAGATTCAAGATTTGAGTAATAATCAACACGTTATCTGCAATTAAAGACTGATTTTGAAGTTTTTATCCACATTTTTACTGCATTACTAACATAGTTAGGGTTGCAGTTTTTTTTAACTCTTTTTTTGTGGATTTTAAGTGCCAATAATTTATTGCAACATGTAAATTACTTTCTAAGTTTGCTTCACAATTTTTTACTTTAAAATACATTTTCTGTATTTTCACAGGAATTAGCATGAACCTGGAGACATGCTGCTTTAACAGGCTTTAAAAATTTTGCTTCCAGCAGTATAGAGCTTTGTTAGACAGAACAATTGTTCTATATTTAAGTGGCAAATGCTACAGTCATTTTCAGTTTCAGCAGATTAAGGGGTAAACTTACTGAACCTAAAGGAGGACTATATTTTGTAAAGAACACTATTCAAAGATGAAAAAGGGTTCTTATTTTGTTTTTCATATACAAATAAGTAAATGTGAGCTCAACTCAACAGATAGAATATGTAAAATTACATTGACAATTATAATGACCAGCAAAAAAATTTATGTAATTCTCTGCAAAATTTGATTACTTTCTTTTCAGAAGAGTTTAAGTTTGTCATTAACTCATATGTAATATTTAAAATGCAGAAAAACAATAACATTGTGATTACAATTCATATCATTATTTGAGCCGCGTCATGACATAACCAACATAGTGCGTTTGCGACCAGCATGGATCCAGACCAGTCTGCGCATCCGCGCAGTCTGGTCTGGATCAATGCTGGTCGCAAACCCATTATGTTGGTTTTGTCGTGACGCTGCTCATTTGATGTACGATACAGTCCACTGAAAAGTATGCTTTTCCAGTAGCTTTTTCTTTACTTTTGAATAAGAAAAAGATTTTGTTTATTTACAGAATGGTACGAATATCACATCCATCCTCTTATGATCTTTAAAAAGATAATTTAATTCATAATATTGCAATAAAAAATCATTATAATTTGTCAAAGATAGGATTCATATTTGTAATAAATTAAATTTTTGTTTGTAATAAACTGGATTCTAATTTGTAATACAGGTACAATGTATAATAGGAATGCAATTTGTAATGACTATGATTCTTCTTTGTAATTAATTGGATGACAATCATCCTATCTAAAAGGATTCTAATTTACAACTATCAGGATTAGTAACAACAGATAGGATTCAAATTTGCAGTGAATGCCCTTGCAGAACAGTATATGAGTGTTACAGGATGAGAAAAATGTGCAGCTTGACCAGGACTTAAACCTGAGACCCTTAGAATACTGTTCCGGGGCTCTTCCGACTAAGCTATCCATCAGCTTACACATCTTTGCCCCTGAACAGTGAACACTTCTGAACGATTATATATTTACTATCAAAAAATCTCAGTAATTCCCAGTAATAATCATAGCAATTAATCAGACATGGATATTTTGGTTTTTCCCAGGAATTCTGAGTAAAATACCAGTAATTTCCGAGTATATTCTGCAAGGGCAGGAATTGATATTGATAAAAAGTTGGATTCTAATTTGTAAGAAACAGGATTCGTTTTTAATGAATAACTTGAATGTCTGAATCCCACAAAGTGTTATAATACATCCAACTTTTGTTTTATATGTGAGTACATATTATTTTGTTTATCTTTTGAACGTAAAAGTTAAATTACTTCTTACAAAGAATTGCCTTGGTTTGATTCTAAAAAACCCTCTACTTGTAGTTTTAGTGATAGGCAACATTAAAAGTTTATACAGACTTTATTGATGTGCAGATTGACTCAGCCTCTAATTTCTGCAGGCGTAAAAACATGTAGAACATCACTTATCAACAAAAGCTGTCCGAAAGACAGGCATGCTTGACTATTCTCAGTACTTAACAATAAGAAAAGGGGCGTAACTCCGTAAAAAGATAAGTAAGATTTATGGGATCTATGCTCTTTATGATAGACAATCACAGACAGCAAGACAATGCGTTAAGTCTTCAGTATTTGTGGAGTTACCAACTTCCATGCAATAACTTAACCAAAGTGTGACAGTGATGCCAATAACATTATGAGAACAATAGCTCTCGAGGTAAAAATCCATTAATAAAACATATTATAATTCATCATTTAATAATAAATATATTTTACATGTTTGACATGTAAAAGCAAGTTTTTTTTCTATATTTCAATCAACTGGATTCATCATTTAACGAAATAAAAAAGAAAAAGAGTTGATTAGAGACAAAGAAGGGGAAAAAACAAAACAAATCTAAAATATATAATTAAAGAAGAAAAAGTGAAACAATAACAAAACATCTGAAAGACAGTCAAATAACATGCATCAAATTAAGTGATCATAAACTAAGCTCATTTCCTCAATTCCGGATCAAATAATTTAATTAATTGTTATGTAAGTAATTAACATTGTATGCACATTTGCCATGCAAAAGAAAATTAACGCTGATTCTATCCATGAGATCCGTGCCGACCTAGATCAGCCATCACAAAATTATCTCATAACCCATTTGACCATGGTCTGACCTGTTTAGGGCTTGTTTTTTTCAGTGAGTACACATAATTTTGCAATTTTCCGTAAAAAATGATGAATGGTTTAGTTCAAGCCTTTTCTAAGATGGACAAGTGGATTTAAGATATTTAGTAAGGTAAAGATGAAATATAAAATTAATAGTATGCACATTTGGCATGCATAACTTAATCAAACTTTACAACAATAATCTGTAATTTACTTGTATTAACTGAACATTACTAATCCTTTATAATCTATATATTTACATCATTTAAATGTGTTGTGATCATCAATGATATAACTCTTATAGTGAACACCAGTAAACAATGATTTTTTACAAACAAACAACTTAAATTATCCCAAAAATGTACTGTTATATAATTAACTTTGTTGAAATCAGGCAATATGTTTCAAGACAAGAGAAAAATGCAGCCAGTCATAGCAGAGGCAGTAATAAAGCAGTGCAGTAAATCAGCAAAGCTTGCAACTCAAAAAACTGATTGATGCAACACAAATACTGGTGTGAGAGCAAAATACACAATACAATGATTGATTCAACAAAATTTTGGCTGATTTAATTCAATAATGATTGATATAATGCAATAATGATTGATTTAATTCAATAATGATTGACTTAATTCAATAATGATTGATCTAATTCAATAATGATTGACTTAATTCAATTATGATTGACTTAATTCAAAAATGATTTATTTAATACAATTATGATTGATTTAATTCAATAATGATTGATTTAATTCAATAATGATTGATTTAATACAATAATGATTGACTTAATTCAATAATGATTGATTTAATTCAATAATGATTGACTTAATTCAATAATGATTGACTTAATTCAATAATGATTGACTTAATTCAATAATGATTGATTTAATTCAATAATGATTGACTTAATTCAATAATGATTGACTTAATTCAATAATGATTGATTTAATTGATATAATAATGATTGATTTAATACAATAATGATTGATTCAATACAATAATTATTGATTTAATACAATAATGATTGATTTAATACAATAATGATTGATTTAATTCAATAATGATTGATTTAATTCAATAATGATTGATTTGATTCAATAATGATTGATTTAATTCAATAATGATTGATTTGATTCAATAATGATTTAATACAATAATGATTGATTTAATACAATAATGATTGATTTAATACAATAATGATTATAATTCAATAATGATTGATTTAATTCAATAATGATTGATTTAATACAATAATGATTGATTTAATTCAATAATGATTGATTTAATACAATAATGATTGATTTAATTCAATAATGATTGATTTGATTCAATAATGATTGATTTAATTCAATAATGATTGATTTAATACAATAATGATTGATTTAATTCAATAATGATTGATTTAATTCAATAATGATTGATTTAATTCAATAATGATTGATTTAATTCAATAATGATTGACTTAATTCAATAATGATTGATTTAATTCAATAATGATTGACTTAATTCAATAATGATTGACTTAATTCAATAATGATTGATTTAATTGATATAATAATGATTGATTTAATACAATAATGATTGATTCAATACAATAATGATTGATTTAATACAATAATGATTGATTTAATACAATAATGATTGATTCAATACAATAATTATTGATTTAATACATTTATGATTGACTTAATTCAATTATGATTGATTTAATTCAATAATGATTTATTTAATACAATTATGATTGATTTAATTCAATAATGATTGATTTAATTCAATAATGATTGATTTAATACAATAATGATTGACTGAATTTGAGATACTAATTACTAAGAAGAAACATGTTGATTATTCTAACCTGTGACCTAATATTAAAAGTGTGACCCAGGTTTTCAACTTTGACCTTTAATATATTATGCCCGAATAGTAAAATGTTTATTCCAATTTATTTTATTTTCAAGGACTAATGAGTCACTCCATTTCTAAGAATAGCAGAAATCTGGGACATATTACAGCATAAATTTTATGCATTAGATATTCATAAAGATAAAATGTATGCATTTAGTCATTAACTGCAAAAACTCCCCAGCTAGAACAAGGTTCCCCCCGCCCCCCTTTGTTTCACACCAAACCAAAATACATGACTAGAATGATTTATACAGAACGAAACATTGTATATGAATAGTACCGCCTATAAAGAAGTTTATGACACTTAAAATAATGGATTGAAACTCGAGCATTAACAATGTATTATGTATTATTAAATCTAGGTGAGATGATGCAGCCATG